CGCTGACAAATCGTCAGGTTTGGATTTCTCCTCTCCGCTTTCTCTGAGCTGTGAGTTAATGCGGCAGGGAAAGACGGTAGAAGTCACAGTCAGCAGGTCTGGGCTGCCACGGCAGGCCTTGGGCCACACAGGTTCGGTGAGAAGCCTGTGCCCATGTGTCTTTGGACTTGTCTTATGTGAAAGCCTTTACTTTATTCCACCTTTTCTCATCTATGGAGCATCTGTTTGCCAGCTAGAGTCACATGCCTGGCCTGTTTCATCTAACATTTCTACCTGATGACGATGAGTGTGTCTGAGCTGGAGGCCGAGGGTCCGCACTGGAAATGTCGGAACCGCTGGATTGCTGAAGCAGTGCTTGCAGCCTTTCGGGTGGCTGCTGGAAGAGGGCAGGAGACCTGCCACCTGCTGGGCAGCTGTGTGTAAAAAGGCCACGGAGCACTGAGGCTCTTCCTCATTAACCCTCCGCCCACCTCATGGGGGACAGATAATTTTATTTTACGTGTAGAGGCTACAGTGGCAAGTACCCGTACACGTAAGAATCCTTTCTGTAGCCTCTGGCCCCTTATACAGCTGTGTAATTGGCAGTACCTGCTGGCTGAATGACTGACTAAGGCTAGAAGGTACAGGCTCCAAACAGGCTGTTCCCAGGTAAGGGCAAACACTGCCACTGTGACCCCTTTGTGAGCTGTAGGGAGTTGACAGACACCTGAGCCGTGGGTCAGTGACTCCTGAAGCATTTTAGAAACATCAGTCCTGCTTCAGACATTCGAAGTTACGGGTTTGAAATTTCAGAACTTTATGTTTAACCCAATGTTGAATAGCAAACCATTAAGTAAGGGGATTCTGTACAATTGTGGAAATTTCTACTTACCTTAATTTTAGTAATCTAACAGAATGTCGTTGAGTATTTTGGCACATCCCGTACTGGAGAAACAGCATGAGATTTGAGAGGGTTTCATCTTCCTCTAAGGATTTTTTTTCATAAAATGACTGTTCCGTTGAAGAGCCCATCTGTATTTTTTCTAATACCCCATGATGACGTTACTAAAAAGACAATTAAATGATCTTCTCATGTAGCATAAAAGTAGACGAAAAAGCAGCGGCATTCCTTCGAGCCATCCAGCTGCATGTCAACCCTGACGTTCAGTTGGTAAGTGTGACGTGTGTTCGGGTTTTGCATGTATAGTATTTATAGTCTGAAGTCTAACATAAAGGTTCTGAACATACTGCTGTCTTGGTCAGGGTTACTATTGCTGCGATAAAACACCGTGACCAGATCAGCCTGGGGAGGAGAGGGTTTACCTGACTTAGCTTCCGTATCACTGTCCCTCACTGAAGGAACTCAGGACAGGAGCTCAAGCGGGCCTGGCACCTGGAGGCAGGAGCTGATGCAGAGGCCATGGAGGGGTCCTGCTTACTGGTTTGCTCCCCTTGGCTTGCTCAGCCTGCTGTCTTATAGAACCCAGGACCATCAGCCTAGGTGTGGCTCCACCCACAGTGGGCTGGGCCCTCCCCCTCAGTCACTAATTAAGAAAAGGCCCTACAGACTTGCCTACAGCCCCATCTTTCCTGTCGGGTGACTTGAGCTAAGCTGACATGAGACCCATCTCAAGTTTTGAAGTTACTGTGCACTTCCCTCAAAATACTCAAAGTATAAATGCCAGCATTTTTATCAGTGTTTGATTTTCCTAACCCTAACAACTTTTAAACAATCTGCTACGACTCTCTCAAGCCTTAGTCATGTCTACATAGTTTATAACTTGCTGGGGTCATCTTTTACATATGCTTTAGGGAAACTGACCCCCATGTCATCCTGTAGTGTTAGGATATTTGCGGTCCTTACAGTAGTCCAGGGGACTATTTCAAGCCTTAGGTATCTCTTAGTTGCCTCTGGGTCCAAGGTCCCCTGAGTCCTTGCCACCTGATGTAGGTTTCGTCTTTGGTAAGGGGCCATTTTTTTCCTGCATGGTATGACTCTGTGGGGCATCTGCAACTACCCAATTTTCCAAAACAGTCATGTGAGCACATATGTGTGCCGCTCTGTGTGTGGCTGCTTGCCCAAGTGTAGCGTTTGGGTGTTTGTGTGTGTATACCCATATGCATGTGTGCATGCTTAGAGGTTTGTGTGTGCGTGTGCTTACCCTTGTGTATGTGCTTACTCATTTGTTTGCACACCCATATGTGTGCCTGTCTGTCTGCGTGCATATGTGTTGGTTTTCCTGTGTATATGTGTTTGGATGCACGTATTCCTGCTTTGCATGCATGCATGCGTGTATAGCTGACTTTGCAGACTGGGACCTAAGCATGATTTTATCACACCCTAGGAAAGTTAAGATTGGCATCCCTGTTAGTAAGAAGCTTTCTGCCTACAATAAAAAAATTGCATTTTACTCATCTACCAGGCCTGGGCCCCTACAGCTGAACCGTGCAGTTGCTCACAAGCCTGTTCAGTTCCCCTGCAGACCTGCAGACCACCGTAATTATCTCTCTCTGTTATACATACACACACACACACACACACACACACACACACACACACATCCCATTCAATGGATATTACACTAAATGAAGAGAATTATCACTCTAAGAGCATTAAATTCATGGAATGCAAACCTGTAAAGAAAAGTGCAAGCATGTACAAAATACTCTCATGTTCTTTCCCAGAACCCAGAGTTCCTGACATTTCCCGTCACTTTTTAGAACCCTTTGGTGGTCCGGTACAGGGTGCCCTTTACTCTTGACTACTCTTGGTACAAATGCCCTAAAAACAAGGCCACTCCTACAGAACCACAGGGTGGCCAGCTAACCATTGGAGAGCGATCATGCAAGAGGGGGACTCCAGGAGACTGTGCAGGACAGGAGAGGATGAGAAGGGATTGTGAATGTGCCCATGCAGCTTGAGTGTCTGTGTAGCTGACTTTGCCAGGGTGATGGGTACAATTGGAGGGAAGCCGGCTGAGCAACATGGCATCTCAAGTGGCAGATTCACTCATCAGTGGCTCCAAGACCATTAAGGGATCCACGGCCATGTTTGCTTTTGCTCCTTGGGAACATGGAGCAGACGATATCTAGAGAATCCATGCTTTTGTCTTGACTCTTCTGCCAGGATGTTTGGAGAACCTATACTTGCATGTTTCCCATAAGCTGCTCCAAAGTGTAGTTAGCTGGGTTTGATCTGTTGTCATTTTGCTTCTAGGTGATGTGCATTCTGCCTTCTAATGCGAAGAACTATTACGACTCCATTAAAAAGTATTTGAGCTCTGACTGCCCAGTCCCAAGCCAGTGTGTGCTAGCCCGGACCCTGACTAAGCAAGGAATGATGATGAGTGTGGCCACCAAGATCGCCATGCAGATGACCTGCAAACTTGGCGGCGAGCTGTGGGCCGTGGAGATTCCAGTGAGGACTGTCACACTCTCCTTTTTCATAGCCAGTAGTTCCCAGATCCTATTAGAGACAGTGTCGTGTGAGCCCAGTGCCTCAGTTGCCCCTTGATATCTTGGGGGCAGAGGGCTGGTCCTCAGATCTCCTGAAGGTGCCTGGTTTCCTTATATAGTTAACTGGTGTGGTGTGTGCAATCAGTGTCTCCTGCGTACTTCCAGTCAGACAGCTCCAGGTTGCTTCTGTCTGTTAATGAGACAGGCATGTAAACCCGTGACCCTCTGTGGTCCACTCTTTCCCACGTGTGTGGTTGAGCTCCCCCTGGGTTATGACGTTACGCAACCTTGGCAGAGAAATTCCAAAAGTGGGCCAGACAGTGCCCTTCCTCTCTGGGAGATTCTGCTTAGCTGCTGACAGACTTTGTGGAAGAGGCTCTCGGGTGTTACAGGCCCGGAGGAGGACTGATTTGTGTTCTCTTGGCTCTCCGGCTGCCATTTTAAATGCCGTCCCATGGCCTCTCCTTTTACCTGTGTCTAGTGGAGTGTGCCTCCTCAGAGGGAACACAGCTCCCTGTCTGTACCTGTGTTCGGTAGAGTGGGCTTTCTGAGGGTGGCCCTGCACCCTGAGGGAACACAGCCTGCTGTCTGAACTGCCCACCGGGAGCGGATACTCATCAAATAACTGGTGAGTGAGGGAAATGGGAATCGGCAATGCTGCCTGTCCCTTGTACCTCCTCAGCCATGGCGGATGTGGTCACGTGTCCACTCCCTCAGTAGTAGCTAACTGAGGATCCTCACCAAGCAGTCGGGAACACGAGAGTGGGGTTCATCTTCAGATCTTCCTCACCAGGTAGAGGATGACAGGATTGTCACCTTCTTTGCCTCAGCTGTTCCCACGGACGCTGATGGTCAGTTAGGCTCTTCAGTGAAGTGTCTATCATAGTCTTCCCCATCTTTCATTCTTTGGTTTCTGGCATAATCGTCTGTCCCATCTGGAACTTGATTTCTTTGACACATAGCTTAACTTCAATAACGTGGTAACTGGAGAGTTTTTAAAATGCCATTGTCTGGGAGAAAGATGCTCATGCCATTAAACCATGATTAACTTGCTTTAACAGTTGAAGTCCCTGATGGTGGTGGGTATTGACATCTGTAGAGACGCCCTCAACAAGGATGTGGTGGTTGTCGGATTCGTAGCCAGCATTAACTCCAGGATCACCAGGTACTTTAACCTCCTCCTAACCCTCTGCGTCCCTTCAGGACTGCTTATGTGACTGTATGTTTAGGGATGACTCCTTTGGGCTGGGTAACCTATCAGGCGCTTACCCCAGAGAAATAGTCATTCTCTCTCTCTCTCTCTCTCTCTCTGAAGCCATTTGTTGCCTTCATCTAGGGACAGGGCATGAAATTCTAAAATAAATAAATAAATGTTTAAAAACGTATTGTTAGGATACACTTTAAAGTTTAAAGTAGCCCACACTAATGGTATAGACCAGTGTTCTCAACCCGTGGGTCACAACAACCCTTTCTTGGGGATTGCGTATCGCATATTTACATGACAATTCGTAACAGTGGCAAGATTGGAGTTATGAAATAGCAACGAAATAATGTTGTAGTTGGGGTCGCCACAACATCAGGAACTGTATTTAAGGGCCACAGCATCAGGAAGGTTGAGAAACACTAGCATAGGTGTCTCGTTGTATTTTGAAACATCTGGAAAGTACTTTGATCAGTCCACCCCCCATTATTGCCATTATTGTTCTGCTACAATCTTTAAATATTTTATTAATTTGTGTATGTGTATGTCATGGTGTGTGTGTGTGTGTGTGTGTGTGTGTGTGTGTGGTGTGTAGGTCAGAAGACGACTTTCAGTAGAAGACCGTAGTGGGTTCTCTCCTTGTACCATGTGGGGCCTGGGGATGGAGCTCGGGTCACTAGATTTGGTGTTAAGTCATTAGGTTTGGTGTTAAGTCCAGTGCATTTACCTCCTGAACCGTCTCCCCTGCCCCTCCACCAGAGTTTTAGTCACATTTTGAAGAACATGCGACACACGTACCAGTCGGTATTACTTACTCATATTTTAAATATGGACAGTTAAGTTAATGCACGGTGTATTACAATGTGATTGGCACTGTTAGAGTGAAACCAGTTTGAAACCGTTTTTCACACATTCGCTGGGGTGAGTTACTGTTTGTCCTCCAGCCACATCCCTGGATCATGAATGCATGGAAATTTCTTGTGCATGTTGCTATAAGCGTGGATGAGAAGCACTCTGTGAATAGGCACCTCATGTATGTAGTATGTAGTATGTAGCATGTAGTATGTAGTATGTAGCATGTAGCATGTAGTATGTAAAGCCCTTGGTGTTGAAAACAGATTGCTTTCAGTTGTACCTGGTCTGCCTTTTACTTTGCAAGTGAGGCCCAATTGTCAAGTTTAGCTACAGGTCCCATAGTTGCCCATTAAAAGGGGAGAATGACAGCGACTATTTCTTAAGGTTTCCGTGGGATTGTATCAGATCAATGCTCCAAACATTGCAACCTGCAATGAATATCTCGGTACACAGTTATTTTTCTTCCTAGCACTTGCGTGTGCTTGATGTGTGGGGCGCGTGAATGGCTCTTAAAATCGGGACAAAGAGGTGTCAGGCAATCCGCACACAACCCCATTGCTCTGGACCTGGGGTGAGGATGAGATCCGAGCTGTGCTGAGCACAGCTGCTCACCTCAGGGCAGCCGGGAGGCGGAGACAGAAAGCAGCACTGGGGATTGGGTGTACAGGGAAAGACACCTTTCAAAGGCCCCAGTGGCCTGCATCCAGCCAAGCCTCCCTCGGTCCTTGGCACACACCCAGCTGTTAGTTCAGATCAGCTCTGTGGATTAATCTGATGCTGTTAGCACTCTGGTGATGGAATCACTACTCCGTAGCCCCACCAGCTGAAGTGCAAGCCTCCAGCATACAGAGCTCTTGAGGGGACCCTTCATATCCATGTCCGGACACACACTGAGTGTCTGGACTTTCATTTTCCATGTGCCTTAATTAACAACTCTCAAGACCACCTTTGAAATCCCAACAGCTTAATCTTGTTGAGGTGGTCACTCCGGGAGAGTCACCTCTAGGACTGGGTTAAAGTTTGAGAAATCTCCGAACATTTTACAAGCAGAATATGTGCTCAGCTGACACACTCTCTTGCAATCAAGGTGTGAGCCTGTATCAGGACCCCTTCTGCAAATACTTCCCGTGTGGTGTTGAGTTAAAACTGTTCACTTTAGGAGGTGCTCATCACTGTCCTTTAAACTCCCCTGGAACAGAGAGAAGTTCAAGTTTGGGTTTGTGTCAAGGTCACACAGCTGTTGAGTTTCCTGGTCAGGGTTGGAATCTGAAGGATGACTTCAAGCTAGGAAGAGGACCACTTAGCATGATGGTTGACATACACAGAGTTAGGAGCCTGGTTTTTGTGGCTGTCTTCTGTCTCTAACTTGATGGACGTGTTTATAGCAGGATCTGGAAATTGTGTTTCCCTTCTGCGTTTTATTTCAGGTGGTTTTCCCGATGTGTTCTTCAGAGAACGGCCGCTGATACTGCAGATTGCCTAAAAGTCTGCTTGACTGGTATCTTAATGGGGTGCACTCTGGGGACTGTTCCTTCATACCCCAAATCCATAGACCGGATGGAAGCAAATGCCCAAGCCTGGCAGCTCTCACCCAGCTGGAGATCCCCGCGTCTGTGTGCTAACAGACGGTGTGGGGTTTATGTCGTGGTGTGCTGAGCTCAAAGCCAAGAGGGAATAGTGCATGCTTACCCAGGTGGCCCTGGAGAGACTGGGGCAGACAGAAGCCTGCACTGGAGAAACTAGGATGCCGGCAGCAGTAAATCTGCAGGGGGCGGGGGTGGGGGTTGACCAGCCCTTTGCCCTGAGGGTGGGAAATGCAGGAAGTAAGATAGAGGAAGACAGGGGAGGCAGGAAGTGAGGAGCTGTGTCCTCTCCACAAGCCCAGCCACTTTGGGCTTTACCCTGGGATCCATATGCAAATCTGCCCTGTTCTTATCTGTAGCTTCCAGTCTGTAAAGCTGAGGGCTTGGGATGTCTTTTAAGTGAACTTGATGGTCCTTGATGGGCTTGCTCTTGGAAGTGTGATTATCTTCTGTCAAACCAAACTAATTTCCCAGGCAGTAAATTCTCCTGAAATGAATTATGCAACATACACACAAAAAGGGATTACTGCATGCCGGTACTTTCTCTTCATTTAAAAACCTGGCTAATGTTTTAGCCATCCTTGCTGAAAGTCTCCCGGCTGGTGCCTGCTCTGAGGCAGTTTACATTTAGAGTGGGTGGAAATGTTTCAGACTCCATCCCATCTGTGACAGTTAGACTCAGCTTGGGAGTTGGTGCGAGGAGCTGTTTTCAAAGACGGCCGAGTCATTTCCTTGTTTTTTCATCTTAGTTCTCATTAGGGAAGAAAATGACACAAACACACCCAGTCTGTCCTGAGCAGATTCGAAGGCTTAAAGTTGAATTAGTGCTAATTTGGCTCTAGGCATTTGTCTACTGCGTGAATCAAATTTTGATTTGTCACTTAAATATTCAAATTTGAGTAAAGAAATATGTGAAATCTAAGAGTATATTATGCCACAGAAACCCTTGTGATTGCTCAGACAGCAGGGATGGAGGAATAGTGCTGGTTAGCCATATTTTAGTACTGCAGACTAAGTCTTGCCTTTTTCCGTGGTCTGAAAAAGCAGAGTGATTTAAAGGTGATGTTATTTTTGGTAGCCCTGGACTGACGACTCTCTTCTCATCAATGTCACATTCTCCAGGTGCCCTCAACAAGTGGTATAAGCACAACCACGATTTGCCCTCGAGGATAATCATATACCGAGACGGTGTGGGGGATGGGCAGCTAAAGACAGTTTTGGAATATGAAGTCCCGCAGCTGCTGAGCAGTGTGACTGAGTGCGGCTCAGGTGTCAGGTATTCTGTCCCCTCTCTTTCTCTGACACCTCTGACATATGCCCCTGCAGTCCCGAACGTGTCGTTTGTGAGCATGACTTTATTTCTTTGGCAGTGAAGCTTTCTTATGTTTCTGTGTCCTACCCAACTTACTGGATGGGTTTTCCTGACACTAGGGTGTAGTTCAGATGGTCTGATATTAATACCCCGGTACTGTAAGCTTTGGGGGGCCTTGAATCGGGCCCCTAGAAGGAGGCAAGCATCCTTCTGAGCAGCTGGCAGAGTGTTTCCAAGAGCTCGCGGGATCAGGGTACCAAAGATGCTGAATGCATATTAGTGCTCCACTGGGGTGGGAGCTCTGACTTAAAAACTGCGTCTGAAATCAGCACACGGACAGGAGTTGGATACAGCAGTCGCCTGAGCACAGATAAGTCAGGATAGGTGTAAGGGAGCCTCTCTGCAGGCAGAAGCCAGACTGTCTTGATCACGCAGTGCCCTGGGTATGTTCCAGATCCAGTGTTGCCGTGGACAGCTTTCTTCAGTGATTTTTGTGGAGGGATAGATGCAAGGGAAACTCTAGAATGGGAAAGAGCCAAGACGACGCTCTCAAGTTGGTGCCTTAAAAATTCTTAGGGTTCATCTTATCCCCAGGCAAGGCATTTCTAGGTCTGGACACACTCCCATCATGATCAACCAAAGCCCACAGTCAACACATGGAGGAATGGCCTTGGCCTCGGGCTGTTACTTGTGCAGAGGTGGCGAAGCCAGACAGTGTGCTGACAATGACAATGCCTCTTGCAGCTGTAGCTAAACTAGTAGAGGGACATCTGTCTGCCCCTTGCCAGACCTCGGGCGACTGTGTCACAGTTGCAAGATTAAACGTAAACATGATGCCATTGGTGGAGATAGATGGATCCAGAGAGACAGTGCCAAGGAACTAACCTTTAAGTTTCGTTATAGGAGACATCCTTAACTACTTATTCATTTGTATATGCAAGAGAGCGTTGTCGTCAGCACCAAGAGCACTGTGGATACTGCACACAGCTCGAAATGGGTCTTCGCATCCCAAAACTGCTCAAAGCGAACCTCCCCCAAGTTCCTTCCGTGACAGAGCATACTGGGAGTTGGCCTTGGTATTGTAAAATACATTTAGCACCTGGCCAGTGAGCATTCAGTCCAGCATTCGGTCCATTTTTGCTTCCCTTCCTCCATTCGCCCGTCTCTCTGTCCATCCGCTCACCCATCCTTACACACACCAGCCTAAGCATGGGTTTACATGACTGTCTGAGGAGAAGAGGGACCATGGTTCTTCCTTGGCTCCTCAGACATGAGCTTTAGAGAGGGAGTGGGGTGGAAATGGGAGGCTCTTGCTAATACAGGGGATGTCTCCTGTAGGGATAATCCTGTGAAAACTATTTGTCCTTGAGACTCAGCTGAAAGTCTGGGTGGCACAGGCCTTGGTTCCACCCCATAGGGGCAGAGCACTAGGCTAGCATGTATGAGACCCTTGGTTCCACCCCATAGGGGCAGAGCACTAGGCTAGCATGTGTGAGACCCTTGTTTCTCCCCCAGCCCCCCCATACTGAAAGAAAAGGCAATTGAAGTCGCCCCACTCTTCTGGTTTGTTAAATGGTCTAAGCTAGGCAGCGGCACAGTTCACTTTTGTCACAAATCCAAATAGATCCTAACTAAAATGATTGTCTGTCTGTCTAGAGAATGAGATTTCCCCTTTGTTTTGCAGTGTTTTAGAATGGATTTCTGTTCATTTCCCTTACAAGCTGACCAAACGGCAACAAGCCAACAAAACTGGACTGTCTGGCTCGGCCTCCGTGCCCTCACGTGCCCCCTTTTCGGTTGCAGCAGCAGCAGACTGTCGGTGGTCGTGGTCAGGAAGAGATGCCTGCTACGGTTCTTCTCCGAGACGGGCCACATCGTGCAGAACCCCCCAATTGGCACTGTCGTGGATTCTGAAGCAACGCGTGCTGAGTGGCAAGTGTTGCTGGGAAAGCGCGCGCGAGCGTGCGTGCGTGCGTGCGTGAGTGCGTGTGTGTGTGTGTCTACACGGGTGCGTGTGTCTGTATGTGTGCGCACAGGGGTGCATGCTCACGTGGAGCCAGAGTTTGGCAGCAAATGTCTTCCCTGATTGCACTCTACCTTCTTTATTTTTTTCCCCCAGACAGGGTTTCTCTGTATTGTTTTGCAGACTGTCCTGGAACTCTATCTGTAAACTCACAGAGATCCGCCTGCCCCTGCCTCCCGAGTGCTGGGATTAAAGGCGTGCGCCGCCAAGCCCGGCTTTCCACCTTCTTTGCTGAGACAGGGTCTCCCACTGCGTTTGGAGATGAGGGACTGGCCAGGCAGTCCCTGTGTCCCCAGTGCTGAGATGGATGGCAGGCAGCTACACCTGGTTGGTTTGCATTCACATGAAGCTGAAGGATCCACCCCAGAGCTCCATGTTTGCAGAGCTCTGCTCTCTAAGGACTCCCCCAGTCCCCAGAGACCGGCTTTTCGCCAGCACACACGCATCGCGTATTGTTTCACCTTGATTGGCTTTGTGACCTCTTTTCTCCACTCCTCCCTGTTTCTCTGCAGGTACGACTTCTACTTGGTCAGTCAGACTGCTAACCGGGGGACTGTTAGCCCCACCTACTACAACGTGATCTACGACGACAACGGCTTGAAGCCTGACCACATGCAGAGACTGACATTCAAACTGTGCCATCTCTACTACAACTGGCAGGTGAGTGACAGCTGTTCACTGAAGCCTTACTCCTGATTTTACAGGGAAGAGTGAGCACAGGAGTCCATGGTAGGAGGAGCCCGCTCAGCCAAAGAAACACAGCAGTCACAAGTGTCATTCCCTAGGGCAAGGCTGGGGATAGCAGTTTAGTCAATCCCTTGCTACCTGTGAAAGACAGGAAGCCAGCACCACCGTGCCTGGTGAGGTTCCAGAGTCTTGGGCCTGCTGGGCCCAAGGTGGAGGGCACCTTTAATCCCAGCACTCGGGAGGCAGAGGCAGGCGGATCTCTGGGAGTTCGAGACCAGCCTGGTTTACAGAGCGAGTTCCAGGACAGCCTCCGCCTGTAGGCCTGAGTATTAGGCAAGACCTCAAGGCTCAGGTTTGCTCTGAGCCCCTCTAGAACACAGGATAACGGGAAGCTGAGGGCACGCCTGTATAGCATCCTCCCAGCCCCGACATGGTGAGGCAGAGCCTCCCCCCCCCCCAACTCCAGCCCATCTTGCTGGTGAGCTTAAATTTCCACTGGCCGTGGCTGCCCTCTGTTGGTTGAGTTTAATTATCATCCATCTAGAACACATTCTATCAGGTAAGTAACCCATAGGTGAAAAAAACTCTTAAAAAAAATCACGTTGACATCTCTCTCTGCAATGTTATCCCTCCTTTTCCTCCCCAGGGCTTAATCAGTGTCCCCGCACCATGCCAGTACGCCCATAAGCTGACCTTCCTGGTGGCACAGAGCATCCACAAGGAACCAAGTTTGGAATTAGCCGAGAATCTCTTCTACCTGTGACAGCTGAGCCAATAGCATGGTTTGGTGGAGACGCCCGAAAGAGCAGTTGCTACGTTTTGCACAGATCTGCCCAAGCTGCCTAAGGAGCCTAATTTGAAGTATTGGGGAGCAGAGTTTTTTTTAAGTCAGCTGAAACAGTTCAGAACAAATCTATGCCCCCCCCCACTGCGTCTTTTAAAAAAATAGCAAAACACCAAAGTAATGGGTTTCCTTATGGCTTTTTTTCCATACATATATGTCATTTAACTTTGCCCTTGTTTATTGTTGTACTTTTTATAAAAGCAGATGCTTGAGTGAATTCTCACTGTGGCATTTAGGATGTATCAACACAGTTCACTAAAACAATGCCTGCTTGGTCTTTTGATGGTGGTTAAGTGAGATTTAGCTTCTTCCCTGAGGTTTTCACAGTTTTTCTAAACATTGTAGAGCGTTTCGTAGAATGGCCTGAGTAATTATTGCAAAATAAAGAAAATATGAGCATCGTATTTTTATGGTTATTTGAAGTTGAGTGACATGAACCTTGGAGTTAAAGTAGCTGTATCACAGACGGGGACCACTGGACCAACCTCTCTGTCAATCAGTGTTCTGTCTCGGAAGCAGGATTCCGCACTTGGTCTACAGCAGGATCTCATTGGCCCAGCAGCTGTGCCCTTCCCATTCAGAGGGAGGGCCCCTGAACACAAGGGCGCCCGTGCCTGTAGACTTGGCCTCCCTGCCTGTTAACAGCCCCCTGGTGGAAGACTACGCCTCTGCGCCAGAGCTCCCCTGCCGGCAATGAAGGGTGGTACCCTTCGCTATTCTCTCTTCTGCCCACTGACCTCTGACATTACAAACAGAGTTTTCTCTCCAATGTCCTTAAAAAGAAACCGTTTTCCTTGGCAGCCACTACCCACTCCTTTCCTCCACGTCATAAACTGCTTCCCATGCGCACAATTCCTTGGTCTAATTACAGTTTCATCACAATCACTAAATCAAATCTGCCCGCCAAGCCCCCCCCCGGGTTTCTCCTTGCAATAGTCCTGGCTGTCCTGGAACTCGATCTATAGACCAGGCTGGCCTCAGACTCAGAGATCCGCCTGCCTCTGCCTCTAGAGTGCTGGGATTAAAGGCGTGCACCACTGCCCAGCTCCAAATCTGCTTTATTCAAGGGCATCATGGGTTTCCACCTTATTAAGAGTTAAGCCAGATGTCCTGTGACAGCATTTGGGCATTCGGTGCTCTGCTGGCCTCCCCTTCACCACCACTCACCAGTGCTCTGCTGGAGTCCTCCCTCCTCACCAGCACTCCTCCTCTGCTGGAGTCCTCCCTCCGCACCAGCACTCCTCTGGAGTCCTCCCCTCTCACCAGCACTCTTCCTCTGCTGGAGTCCTCCTTCCTCACCAGCACTCCTCCTCCTCTGGAGTCCTCCCTCCTCACCAGCACTCCTCCTCCTCTGGAGTCCTCCCTCCTCACCAGCACTCCTCCTCCTCTGGAGTCCTCCCTCCTCACCAGCACTCCTCCTACTGGAGCCCCCCGCCCCCACAGCTCTGGTCTGTAGTGGAATGACCCGGGAAGGAGAGTGCAGACAGAGTCGAGGTCATGGGGAAGGTTGCAGCGGGCTGCAGCAGGGTGCAGTGGGGTGCAGCAGGCTGCAGCAGGGTGCAGGGGGGTGCAGCAGGGGTGCAGTGGAGTGCAGCAGGGGTGCAGTGGAGTGCAGCAGGGTGCAGTGGGCTGCGGCGGGGTGCAGCAGCTGCAGTGGGGTGCTGCAGGCTGCAGTGGGGGTGCAGCAGGGTTTAGGGGGTGCAGTGGGCTGCAGTAGGGTGCAATGGGGTGCAGTGGGGGCAGCGGGCTGCAGTAGGGTGCAGTGGGGTGCAGTGGGGTGAGCGGGCTGCAGTAGGGTGCGGCGGGGTGCAGCAGGGTGCAGCGGGGTGAAGTGGGGTGCAGGGGTGCAGCGGGCTGCAGAGGGTGCAGCGGGGTGCAGTGGGGTGCAGTGGGCTGCATAGGGGGCAGCGGGTGCAGCGGGGTGCAGCGGGGTACAGTGGAGGAGAGAGGCAGGTCTTCTTGAGGCCCGAGGAGGAGGCAGGCACCAGAGGGACACCGGGCAGCGGTCTTGTCACATTGCGCTGAGAACTTTCTTTTTTGTTCTTTTTCCTCTTCCACCTCCCCCTTCTCTGTCTCGAGACTGGCTCCTGTCAGTGCGAGTCAGGCTGGCCTGAAACTTTCGCCCCTGCCTCAGCCCTCTGAGGTGTGCCCTGCCAAAACCATTCCGCCCGTGCTGGGGAGCTCTGTTCAGACCGGTGTCCAGCTCGGCATCCACGTTTAATACTCGCGGCGGTATGAGGAGGCTATGACACCATTCAGCCACTGAGAAAGAGCCAGCGGGGCCGAGGTTGCGGGTGGTGTAGATGGAGTTGTCCTCGCGCTTGTTTGACGGAACCACTGCAAAGTGGAAGGAGACCCCCTTTCCCCCGCCCCCGTCGCATGGAGCCAGTACCTTGTGTGAGGAGGTGTCATGTACAGGGGGCTGAAGAGACACGGCGCCGGCAGGGCGTGGCGGTTTGCATCACAGTTTCCATCCTTCAGACTTCAAGGGCTGTCCCAGTTTGCCCTCTGTTGCTGTGCTAAACGCCACGAGCAAAAGCAATTTGGGGAGGGAAGGTCTCTATTTGGTTCCCATCACGGGTCGTCACTGAGGGAAATCAAGGCAGGAACTCTACAAGGACAGAGGCAGGGGCCATGGAGGAACACTGTTGGCTGCTTCTTCTCACGGCTTCTTTACCTTGCTTTTTCTTGCAGCTCTGGGACCACATGCCCGGGGGTGGCACCGCCCACGGTGGGCGGTCACCTTCATATCAACCAATCAAGACTATGTCCCACAGGCCCATCGGGTAAGGTTGACTGAGGTCTCTGATTCCCAGGTGAATGTAGTTAGTATCGAGCTGACAAAAATGAACAAGCGAAGGTGATCTAGAGGCCCCACCTAACCAGATGCCCTGTATCGATGCGTGCAGCGCTTTGATGCACCAACGCTGGGGTCTTTAGCGCTTGCCAAGGATGCCTTTCTGCCTGGACCCACCAGAGGGCGCACGCACACTGTTCTTTAAGCAGACTCTCCCATTGCTGTGCTGAGCGGCCCAGTGCCTGGGATCCAGAAATCTTCATTTGAATTCAGATTCCAACAGGCCAGGCAATGTGTAGGCTTCTCATCGCTCCTGGGACTCTCTTACCCTGCCTACACCACGAGGAAAAGTGCACTGCACGATGGGAGACAGAACTTACCACAGAAACAGCTTTTCGTTGTGGCTGCTTTAGTATTGGGGTTGAAGCCGGGATCTCAAATGTGTTAGTCAAACATTCTGCTGTTTAGCTACATGCTTCCCCACCCCCAAACACACACAGTGATTTCACAGATCATGGGCGAAGCCTGGGTGTCCAAATGGCTTTAATACCAGGTTTAACATTTGAAAAATGCCATGTTCCAGTATGCTGCCAGGGTTAATGACAGTTGGCTTACAAAATCGAAATTCAGGCTCTCCTGCTATGTGACGGCCTCCTATTGCCTACATTAATCAGCTTCCCGTTAAAGCTACCATATATAAAGAGAACGGAAGTGTGCACCCAGCTTCGGGATGGCCCAGAGTTTGGGTCCTAGAACTACCACTTGGTAGCTCCGTGGCCTTGGGTAAATTACATAACCATCCTGAGCCTCCTGGCATCTTTTAAAATTCCCTCATCCGTTTTGTAGTATTTGCAAGGATGGTAAGTGCCAAACCCAACGTAGCTGGCTTTCATAAAGAGGACCACCTTATTAGATCAGATGAGAGGACAGGGAACGACAAGGTTTAGCCCGGAGATTTGCATGACAGGCACTGTGCTGTGCTCCGAGTCTCAGATTCTCCTTAAAGCGTCACTTTTTTTTTTTAAGATATTTATCAGTTTCTTTTCCCGATGCTGTGACCAAACCCTTCACAACAAGCAGGTTAACGAGGGAAGGGTTTATTTTGGCTCACAGTTTGAAGGGAGAGCGCATCATGGAAGGAGGGACATTCAGTTAGAGTGTCTTGAGAGGCCGGTGGCTCTGTTACATGGATCAGAAGCGGAGACAGGAGAAGGCGGGTCTCTCCAGCAGCCCGCCTCCTCCAGCGAGGCCCCGCCTCCCGACTGTCACAGCCAACCCGCCTCCTCCAGTGAGGCCCCGCCTCCTGAGGGATCCACACACATTGGTGCAGGGAGGTTCACATTTGGTGTTTAAGGACAGGGTTTCGGGGAATTTCTGTAGGTGCCATGGAATGCAACAACCAAGTCTTCTTTCCTAATAAAAACCTTTGCAAGGGACGAGAATGACTGACAGCTTTTAAATGTCCCAGCTTCGGGATCCACTCCTATGGGACTTCTTAGGCTCTTTCCAAGCTTGCCTAGGCCTCACCCGAGCAAAGCAGAGGCAATAGATTCGGGCCATTTCTTTTGCTTGACGGGAGACTCCACCGTTTCACACCTTGACTCCTTTTGAACGTGGCCAAGTCCATCTCAGAGATGAGCTAGAATTTCTGGCCCATTCTTCCCTTCCGCCTTCCTTCCCCGCCTCCTTCTTCCGGAGGCATGAGGGTGCTGAAGTCTTCATGCTTGCCCAGGCTCTCTTCCACCTGTCTCCCTCCTATGGCCTCGCCCCGCCGGGTCTCGGACATCTGTTTCTCTTGGTGTCTGCTGCTTGGGAGATCCCAATTCTCTTCGTGAAGCCTATCTTTTGTTTTTTAATAAAAAGTGTTTTTAGTCTCAAGGTGTCTACCAATCAAAACAAAGAAATTGTAGACTGTGGGACTCCATAATCTTTTTCTTTTCCTTCCTTCCTTCCTTCCTTTTATTTATTTATTTATTTATTTATTTATTTATTTTTGCCATAATCTTTTCAATTCCAGGTTTTGATTTAGCAGTTTCCCATGGGAAAATTTACTCACAGACCTTGCAGCAGAATCCACGATCTCAAACAAAACGCCAGCTGCTCTTGAGGCTTTTTGTCAAAAGTTAGGGCTTCGTTGCTTACGTTAACCTGAGCTTGGCACGCCAGTGTGCCCCGGTGCCCACTGGCCAAGAATAACCTCCAGCCGGTCCTGGGAGGATGAAGGGAAGACTCGTTCCCAATGAAGAAATGAGGAAGATCAAATAATATGAAGGACAAAATAAAAATCCTTCTTGTGGACTGTGTAGTGAAATTGTTTTTGTTTTGTGTAACCATTAATTTTAAATTACACTGTAAAATATGTGGAAAATACAAAATAGGTAGAAAACAAGTTAACCAATATTGGTATCATGCGGTCAACACTTGGACTTGTTTTGCTTTAATCCTTTAGCTGTTTTGTACGTGTAGTTTTATAAACTTTATTTTCTACATAAGGTTACAGCGGCTGTATTTTTCTATTTGGTTACAAATTTTCTGTAGGCATGTCTTAGTGACTAATAGTTAACTGTGTAGATGTAGCAAATACCTTTCCCTATTTTTGTTGTATTTTAAATTGTTCCCTGCTATGAAAACATGGCATATGATTTTTCTCCCCATGTGTTTTGGGGTAGCTTCCTGAGGTTAGGTTTCTGCAAGAAAAATTGCTGAGTCAGAAAGTTCTAATACTTAGAAATTAATCTTTATTGTCAGTATTATTTTATGTGTGAGTTGTCTGTGTGCCGTTTGTGTGCAGTGCCCCAGAGGTCAGGAGAAGGCACCGGATCTCCTGGAGCTGCAGACAGTTGTGAGCCTCCACCTGGGTGCTGTGAATTGAACCCAGAGCCTCTGGAAGAGCAGCCAGTGCTCTCAACTACTGGGCCTTCTCTCCAGCCCCCCAAACTTTCTAATACATCAAAAGCTGTTAATATACATTGCCAATTTCTCTCCAATGTCTCTGATATTGTGTTCTCAGGGTGGCATTATAGTAAAATTTGTATATTCCACCAAATCAAAAAGGATTCCTTTTGTTGGTGGTGGCATTACTTTCATGCTTGTATTTATATTTCTTGGATTAATAGGTGAAAATAAATTGAACATACTTATAAGTCATTTATGGTTTTGTTTGTTCTTTAAAATCAACACCTATGAAACTGTTATACAGAGGAACATAACTCTTTGTTTTCAATTTGCTGTGTGCGTTCAAGTGTTATGATGCTTTTTAAACTACACACACTTCAAGTTTCTATATTCAAATGATCACAAATCCTTTTGAGTTTATGAAAACTGAACTAAAACTTGAAAGCAGGGTAAATAGGGGAAAGGCAGACTTTAAGGTGCCACTTTTAGGTGCAGAGACAGTGTCAGTTAGACCACCAACACACCATAGAAAACGCGGAGAATGAGGGGGAAGCAGGGACAAGTCCAAGGAGACAATGCCCAGTACTGTTCTAATTGAGATGTATAGTCATAGAAAAATGAGGCAAAGCATTGTCTTCTTTTCTATTACCATGATTGGGCACCACAACCAGGGCAGCTTACTAAGCACGGTGTTTAGTTGGCTTACCGTTTCAGAGTTCATGACAGGGTGAGGGAGGCATGGCTGCAGGAACAGCTGAGCGCTCACATCTTGATCCACAATAAGAAGCAGAGAGAGAGCTAAGTGGGAATGGCTCAAAGCCGGCCCAGCGACACACCTCCTCCCACAGGGCAACACCTCCTAATCCTCCCTATTGTCCCCAACTGGGGACCAAGCATGGGAACACACCAGCCTCTCGGGGGCCCTTCTCAACCCAGCAGAAGCTCCCCGTGCTCCTAGAGACTCATCCTCAGACTGCACAGTACCAAGAGTGGAGGAAACTCTCAAGACTTCAGGAAAGACACAGACGTGCGGTGCCTACAGAGAAGCAGCCCCAGGCTGTGTTGTGGAAAGGGGAAAGTAAGATGACATCTTTAACATCTGAAGAGAAAGGATTGATGAAGCTGGTACTCTGAGAAGCTAGCTGGCCTTTCACGAATGAGCAATTTAAAACTTCAAGTATAAGAAAGGCCCAGTGCCTGGCTGTTGAAAGATCTTCTAAAGCATGCAAGATAGAAGATAAGCTGAAAGAAACAAGCTGAGCTAAGAAGTTGGTATTGCTTCGTAAAGCTCAGTTGTATCGGCTGTAAACCAGCGGTTAGCTAGATGTCAGCAACAGTAACAGCACATTGGGAGGGAAATTTTAATCGTTTTTTTTTTTTAAATTTAATGTGTATGGGTGTTTTCCTGCACGTACAGCTGTGCATCACATACAAGTCTGTCATCCCAGGAGGCCAGAAGAGGATATTAGATGGTGTGAGCTGTGCAGGGAATTGAACCCAGGCCCCCAACAAGACTCGAGGTGTTACAAAGACAGGCTTAATAGTCCCTTACTTCACAGCAAAAGCAAGGAGACTTTAACACCAGCTTCTTAAAAACCGATTAAAAAGACAAACACGGTGATCATAGCGGTGCATGTCTCTAATCCCAGCACTATAGAGTTGAGGCAGGAGAATCAAGGGTTCAAGGCCAGCCTGGATCAGTGGTAGGCTTTGTGCCAAAAAACAAACAAAAACACCCAAACAAGAGAAAACCCAAAACACAAATATTCTACATAGATATAAAGATAAGGATAATTTTACTGAGGTTCTTTAGTGTGTGTGTGTGTGTGTGTGTGTGTGTGTGTGTGTGTGTGTGTGTGTGTTGGGAGAGTGCCTGCCCTGTGTCTGCACTTGTGGAAGCTGCTTCTCTCCTCCCTCCATGCCGGGCCTGGGGATTGAACTCGTGCTTGGCAGCAAGTACTTTTACTCGCTGAGCCATCTCACTGACCCTGTGGAGATAAT